CCAAAATCAAAGTTCTAATCACTCTTTTGCTGTTTATCCCCCCCCCCAATTTTTTTTAATTCCTTAAACTTGTATTTAAAACTTCTTTCACTAAGGGTTGAAGGAAATTCATCTGTTTTCAGACTTGTCAATCCCAAGGTTCCTAATAGCTGAGCAGCAGTTAACAAGCAATTTCCAAAATGATTAGAAAAGGAAGTATGTGAACCCAGTGTCCTTTTGAAGGTGCTATGGTTTGAGCAAGATGGCTATTCCATCACCTCCCAGAGCTCTAAATCCTTGTGAGGAATAGCTGTCTGGAGCTGTCAGCCCTCCCAGGTAAATCAGACAGGAAAGACAGCTAAATGAGCTAATTCTACTTTATTGTAAGTCTACATTACCAGAATCTTGCAAGTCTGAAAGTACAAATATTGTCTAGAGAGGAATTATGAAGAGCCGGTCTACTCCCTGGCTCTTCATTCTGCCATGGTCATCGGCTCTACTTTTAGCAGAGCTATCTTCAGTTCGCCATTTCTTCCCAAGAAGTCGTACTTTGACTTCAAAACAAACTATTTTCTTAATGATGATTAATATCTGCTCTGAAGAATAATTTACTCCCAGACTTCGGTGCTACCTTTCTGATATGCTCAAGAAGAAGGTGGATTGTTGAAGCAGGTGAAAGGGTTTTTGGTATATAGGTTTTTAGAGGCCATGGCTAACAGTATTCATTTAAGTTGATTAAACTATGAGCTTCCCCACGGAGGAATGTTGTGAAGACCATTGATTGGGTTAGCACATTGCATGTGGTTTGTTCATGTGGCCTAGCATGTTCTCTGAATTGTAGCTTCCTAATAGTGGGAAGGTGTCAGCCTTGCCAGGTAGTCCAGCCAAGAAGCACATCCATAAATACTAGTTCTAACTTTATTGTAAGGTTACATTAACAGAATCTTGCAAGTTTGAAAGTACATTTCTCCCCTGTCACCTTTACAGCCCGAGAAACTTAGGGAAGGTGATGTTTTGTGATGTTTACCACACCCCCATTCCTGCTGTGGGCTAAGCGGCTGCTTGTCCTACTGTTGCCTAGTCTGCAGCTCTTCCTCCTGTCTCCCAAAGTCATTCCCACATACCATTACAGAAGGTCAACAAACCCATGGTTAAAAAAAAATCAAGGTTTAGCACACTATGTGAATCCAGCTGGCTTTCTATAAAATGTTCAGATACCCAGGCTAAGATGTGACAAGAAGCATTTGAGATTACTACATAAATACTCTCTTGCATTTCAGTTCAGTGAGTGTAATTTCCATTATTATGACACAAAATCTTTGTTATCATTGAGATTGAGATGTGTGGCACTCTGAAGAGTATGTTAACAGATTTAATGTGCTTGGAAAGACATAGCTGTATTCCTTACTTTTTAACTTGTGCATTGAAAAGACCCCTTGTAAACATCATTTCAAGCAAGAAAATGTGCCTCTGATAGCAGTCTGACATGAATATACTAAGCAAGTGAAGACAACAGAAAATTCTTATCTATCCTGTCTACCTCTCCCCCACTCTCTAGACTTTTAGATCAAGGTTGACCAACATACCACCATGGTTCTGGTAACTGGGCCCACACATTTTCATTTTACATAACAATCTAGCCTCATTCCTTCCACTTAGAACAGCCACTTAGGAGGGCCACTGTAGCAAATTACTACTACATCCTTTCCTTAAGACTTCCTTGTGATGCTGTTTAGGGAATTAGATCTTTGGAGAAAACACTCTGGCTTTCTGTGGCTTGATGGTGGTGCTGAGATGCACACCTGCTCATATGCAGTCGAGTGGCAAGTATAATGGTTGATTTATAGGGCTGAAAGGCATATCAAGATAGCAGTGAAAATACAGATAAACCAAAATTAATCTGATTGAGTAACAAAGTCTGGATAAGTTCGTCATCTGGAAACAATCCGACTTGTTTGCTGCCAGCTGAAGCCACCATTTCCTTAACCATTTCCTTATTATCTATTCCTGTTAACTACCCACTCTCTTTTCCTTTATCCTGCTCATTTGGTACACTGTACCACCAAACACATCAGTTACACAAAATAAATAAGATGGTTTCATTAAGTGGCAGAACTGTTAAAAGCAACAGTCAACTATCAGTAAAACCTCTTGTTTTCTATTCTTTGTTTCTTTAGGCTTTCAGCATGTATGCCTGTTGCTACTGAACATAAATTCTCTTTTTGTAGTACAGTAGTTTTGCACCTCACAAATATGGTAGTATATTTCAGATGATTTGGGGATGCTGTTTGGATGATGTAGCGTCTCTTTTTTAGGACATTGTCATCATTATCATAATATCTATTCTTCTTTATTTTTATACCACCCTACTAGCTAAATTTCTAAATGTGTAGCTGCATGCCCCAAGCTGGAAAACAGCACTATATGCTATTTTCTGTTACTGTGGCTTGGGATTCAAGATTAGTGATTAAATTGAATTAAAATTTTAAAATAACAAGAACAGTTAGTAGTCAAAACAAACCATTCTTTCCCAGGACTTGAAGAAAGAAAAGCCATTTGTAAGTGTCCAGCTTGCCAAGAAGTAATGAATTAATGAAATTAAAACAAATATGTGACAGCAAAACTAAATCATTTCCTTTTATGTCTGTGATCCAAACATGGATTATATAAGACCTGTGTGCATGAATGTGCAATTGCCACCCTTCTCAAAATCTGTACCCCAGGCTTTCAGAAGAAACCTATTCTGAAGTCCATCTGGTGTTCATCCTGTAGAAGATACCTGAGATATTCCAGATTAAACTATAATATACCATAATGCCCTACTATGGCATGAGGAAAAGGGAGACTTTTTTAAAGTCATGGCATTTGATGGACTAATAGCAGATTAGGTTCACATATTAAGCCATGGTTTGGTTAACAATAGATTGTTGAAAAAATCAGACAGCACATTAAGCTATAAGTCATTGTTTACAAATCTCAGTGGTTGGGCTCATACAACATGTTAAACAAAGCCAAACAATACCAACCATTCAGCCGTAGGGATCATTCTTATATAAACACCCCATCCCATACCAGCCAAATGTAAAAACAGAAATACTTAATAATTTTTATTTGCATCAGCATGTTCTGTGAACTCAGACCACTGAGGTTTGTTCAATGCAGCATGTAACCACGGCTTAGCCAAACGTGTGAATCAAGCTAGTGATTATATAATACTTATGCACTTTAGTGGCTTAATCTGTGATCTTTACAAGGTAGGTTATACTATTCACATTTCCAGTAGCTAAAGGTCATTAGGCAGAGTTGGGGACTTTGAGAGAAGAAGGACAGGTGTATTGCCATCTGGGAAACAGCAGGTTCTTTAGGATTCAGAGGCAATAGGCTTAAACCAAGGTGAAATGCCAGAAAGGATTTTATTGAATAACTTTTAAAAGTATTACAGAGAAAACTCCACCAATCTGCATCCCTTCAGCTTGCCAAGAATCCCAAGAATGAGAGTAGATACACCCCAGGAGTTGGCAGTTGTGCAGTACCCTACTTGGACTTTGGGTCTACACTGGTTCAACCTGCCTGGTGGGTTTATCACCTTTTTATAATAGAAAGGGACAGAAAGAATAAACAATAACACCTAGGATGACTTGGTAGCCCATCTTATCAGGGATTTGATCATAACTTTAGACAGTGGATCCTCTGACAAGGATATTTTTAGGGAGAGAGTCTTTAGAAGTAAACACCTGAGATGTTCTCTTGTGATGATATATCTGGTCAATAACCCGGGAACCCAGATAAGTGCCCCTTTACTAAGAATATGTTTATGAGAAGTTGCTTCCAGTATGCAGCTATTGTTATTCCCTCTCCTTTGCAGATGTAGATTAGGAAGCTGGTGTTCTCTTTATCTTACTTGTTATGTGTAGGAATACAGATAAGAGGCAAGCAAGAGTAACAATACAATGATACAGTCAGGAAAGCTTAAGTTACACAAAAAAATTGCCTCAGCTAGCTAAACAACCCCTTCTACACAGGTATTTCTTACATGTGCATAGGGAAAAAGGAAACACTACTATCTCCTCACCAATCTTTCATGGCTAATAGTGTTGAGCAGAGATCTATCCCTCCTTAGAATTGCTGCATGAGGGGTTACTTTGCACACTGGGCATCAGAGGATGCCATTCATTTCTGAGGTCACAGTGATGATAGAAACTGTGCTTTATTATCATTTCAATTATCCAGGATTGCTAGGCATTGCACCAATATTCTTTATGGCTGTGTTCAAGCACCTGGGTCAGTGTGAGATGGAGGACAGGCTATGCATTTATTTCAGCCTCAGCCAGTCATTGTATTCATAGCTCCTCTTGTTTCCTATGGGTTTTCATGTATACCATGGCCTCTAATGAGCATTAACAGTTTTAACATATATCCTTGTCTTTTCACCAAGCCTTATGGCTCAGATTTGGGCCCACCAAGGCCGTGCCAGTTCAACTGGAAATCAATCCATATTCAGAAGGGAACAGTTAAAGCAAAGGGTCCAATCTTGGAGAGCAAAGCTCTTGGGTTATTTGATGGGCAGTTCAATTAGGCACCGAATGCTTCATCGCCTCTCCCATGATTCTGATACAAAATATGACTTCCAGGCAAGTAAAAAGAGTTTTGTGACATTTTGAAAGCCAATGTGTTGTTAAGGCACAAGCTTTATGCATTAGTAGTATCTTATCAGGAATATGAAATGTGGCTCCAAGTTATATAGATGCTTGTAAGGTCCGGAATTTATAAACGGAATCACGATTGTGAGTTGCACAACCTCAACCCAGTGTTTTTCGATTCCCTCCCCCCACCCCATTTGGTTTTCTGCATCAAAGGATGAAAAAAAGAAACGCCTCCTGAGATCACAGAACTGCATCCAGGATGCAGGCTGCTATCCCACCGTGAAGAAAGCAAGCTGGGCAACAGATTCCCGACTCAAAGCCTCGAACGCTTGGATGGCCACGTGGTTCGACCACCCGCTTCTCTTCCACTCTCTCTGGGTCCGTCCAGTTCCACCTCGAAGATGCCTCCACCAATCAGTCCGAGGGACGCGGTGTCCCAGATGGAGCCTTGGCGCTTTCCGTAGTCAGGTGATCGGAGCCGGAAGAGTTCGCGGCCGAGTAGATAGACTTCGGGAAGCCTGCGGTTGCCGGGCACCGCGATGGCTCCGGAGCCTTGGTGAGTGACGGAGGGCCACGCGGGCAGGCGGGTTCGTCGAGGTAGCGGAGTCCCAGCGGGCAGACTAAGTGAGAGGGGGAAGACAAGCGGCTCTTCGGCTTGGGCCTGAAGGCAGTCCTCGAAAGACAGCCTCCCCTTGCCGCTCCTCCTCCTCCTCGGTATTGCGCATGCTCCCCACCCCTCCCTTTGCCGCTAAAGCTAACTGGCTTATGAAGGGGGAGCATGATGAAGTGCGCACCTTCTTTTGTAAGGCAGTGTTTCTCAAGCTCCGCAAATTTAAGAGGGGTGGACTCCAACTCCCAGAATTCCCAGCCAGTTGAGGTCCACCCCTCTTAAAGATGCCGAGGTTGAGAAACATTGCTCTAAAATATAAGTGTTCCCCCCGCCCCGCCTGTATTTTGCTCTTCCTCCTGGGTTTAGTAGATGGGAGAATTTCTGTAGGCGGTGAAATTAAGTCCCCGCTAGCATTTTGGTGTGGTATCGCTTAGGGGAGAGGAATTGCGCCTGGGGTGGCCAGATGCAAAGTTTTCCAGGCAGGGACTTCGATGGTGGAGAATTTTTACACCTGGGCGTCTTCCCTACCCTATAAATTTCACTTTGGCAAGGTTACTGTAACTCTGCTTGGTGCTCCTAACCTATCTTGGCTGATTGGTTTTGAAAACGAAGTGGGGTCAGACCTAATTAGTACTTGGATGGGTGACCATCAGAAAATCCCAGGGATGTAGGCTAGAGTGAATGTTTAAAAAAAAACAACGGAAGAAATTAAACATTCCTTCTCACTTCGGGGACAAAAATTGGGGGTCTGGTAGCATGTGTTTGGACTAACAGTTTGTATTACATTTTATATGTGTTTATTTATATCTTTTAATAAAAATTGTTAGTCCAAAAAGGTGCTTCTAGAGTCTAATTTTGGGATATCACACTCACACAGCTCTCCTCCTACAATGTCTACTTTGGACAAATTATTCATTTGTATATGGACCATTTGCTCTGACTCATTGGGATATGATGAAATTAAGCATCTAAAAACATGTCTGAAGTATGGTATGTTTGAATTAGGAGAGTCTGCAATATTTATTTTCTAAAACATATCTGTTTTTTCAGTGCTTTCAACCTACCCATGGTTCAAGAACACTTGAAACTTACAAGAGTTTGAAAACAAAATACATTTTACAAAGTTTTGGCCATTTTTCAGAGAGCACATATCTAGACTGCATGAAGTATCCCCATGGACCATTTGAAAAATCTAGTGGCTGAGTTAACATAACATGTATAACAAGATAGAATTGCAGCGTTCACAAAATATAACATGTTTTACCAAACCATATTATGGTATAATATAATGGCCTGGTTTGCACAATGTAGTTTGAAAATGGCTGCAATCCCACCACATGTTTTAGCTTAGAGTAGCTTTTGTGTATATCATAGGAACTCATATTCTTGGAAAAATATGGTTAAGGCAGGGCACTTTAACATCTCATTGTACCCAAGATTGGTTAGTAGAGATCTGCAGGCATCTCTTGCCTTGGCCAAAGTCAGTGTCTATACCTTTACCTTCAGAAAAAACATTGGGAGAAAATGGGATTCCGGGGAATGTAGGAATGCTGCTCATAAAGAAGAATGTTGATAATTATCTGAAGTTTGTGAGAAAGTACCAGGGTGATCCTCCAGACTTTGGAGGAATGTTCAGTGAACAGATGAGTCAAAAGTAGATTTATTTGGGGCTATATGGGCCTTGTGGAAGTAGTCCACAATAAGAATCTCATGCCAGCTATCAAGCATGGAGGTCATAATGTCACAGTTAAGAGATGTTTTGCTGCCTAAGAACCTGGATGTTGTAGTTGAAAGAATACATTTTGCTTCATATCCAAGAATTCTGCAGGGGTATATCAGGCAATTTAACCTGAAATTTAAGCACAAATGGATCATGCAGTAAGACAGTGACCCCAAATATACAGGTAGTCTACAAGACAATGGATGAAGAATAAATTCAGTTCTTTGGAGTTTGCAAAGTTAAAGCCCAGATCTGTTCAATTGTGGCAGAACATGAAAGAGCAGTTCATCTGAGAAAACCTTCCAAACAGTTTACTGTGGAGGAGTGAGCCAAAATTCCCACACAGGAAAAACTGATCATTAATTACAGGAAGTGTTTGGTTGCAATTATTGCAGCTAAAGGTGAAATAATTGCTTACTGAATTAAAAGAAGAGATTACTTTTTCATACTAGGGCATCATAGGTTGGCCATCATAGGCTCTTTCTGAAATTAAAACATCCAAAACATGATTTGTACACTCAGATTCCCTGTACATATCAGTAGGATCCACATAAAGTGTTGATAATATTCAGTGACAAAAATATGGAAACATTTAGAAAATTTGAAAGGGGATACAGTTTTTTTCACAGAAACATAAATTGCTCATGGTTTGTTCCAGATGGAATCAAGTGTATTGTGCAAACACATCCATAATGTAATTTGTTGGGTTTGGCTTGACCTACTGTAAAATGTAATTATGGTATGTGAACAGCATTTTTTGGTTTAGCATTATGTGTGATCAAAGCCCCTATGATTTGTTCAGCAAATCATCTCTGATTATCATAGGTCTGAGCAGGCCCAGTTACAGTTGGATACCAGGACTGTAACTAATCATTATTCTTTTATTAAATGACAGCAAGTTCTTTTTAGTTTTTTTATATAAAACATTTTGTATTGTCTTTTGCACATTAAAAAATATAAGTATGTTTCATAGCACAAATAACTGAGCACTTGAATACTACTAATTTTTTCAAAAAATGCATCCTAGTAATTTCTACCTAAATAGTAGGATTTATTTTTCAAAAATATTCTGAATACTAGTATAAAATAAGCATCATAATTGATTTTAAATATTGTTTAGTAACACCTAAAGATGTGCACATAAGTGATTCAATGAATTAGATAACATTTGTCCTGATAAAAATGTAATGCCTAAAATAATATATAAAGTAGTATATAATTTAATTGGTAAATTATAAGAAAAGTGAACATATTTGAAGCATTTTAATATTTAACAAATATAAAATGCAAACTGCAACATATAACAGTTATAGCTAACTGTTAGCTATAAAATATATATTTTATAATGTATCATAGTAATTGTAAAACATTTTGTTCATAAAAAATGAATTGTATGAACTAAATATTAATAAATATGAAGCACTCTTCATACTGCAAAATGAGAATAAATTATATGCCTTAATTTATTGGAAAAAAAGACAACTGTAAATTTAAAGGAGTTTTGGTTTTGGATATTTTGAGATTCTGATTCCTTACAATATGCCCTAAGTTTGAAAGGATATTGAGATTTTTTTACATACCAACTTGTTTCTCTTGTACTAGAGTTATTGTCTCCTTGAACCAATAGGGGAGATTCTTTATAGTAAAAGTTGTCTGTGTGTCTACATACTGTCTAATCTTCCTATGTATCCCTTTGCTTGTGTGAAAGATAATCACTCTAGTTTGCTACCCAGGTTCTTTTCTGGCTCCATCTGATAAATGGGAAAAACAAAAGACTAGTTCATACTTCATAGCTATAGGCATACCTGCCACATTTATATCACTTTATAACTCCAAACACACAGTGGGCATATGTATATTAGGACAATCACATCTATGAACAATTACTGTACTTAGGACAATTAGCTGTATGAACAGTTTTTGTATAGACAGTAGCCTTGGCAATCTTCAGTACAGATGTTTGAAAAGTAAACTCATATGTTAACAATATAAATTAAATCTCTTGTTCTCTCCTAGTTTGGCGGGAGATATACATACATACATACATATACACACACATACTAACACACATATACACACACATGCATACACATGCATATGCACACGCACACAAAATTTGTTGTACTTTATACCAGTTGATGTTTTAACAGTAAATTATTTATTACAATGGCTGCTTGGGATGAGAGTTTAAAGAGGAAGTAATGGAAGCAAGCTTCTTTTAAGGAAACTGAGGCATGTAATAAAAGCTGATATTGCATAAACTGATTCTAAGGACCAGTGAAATTTTACTGCTATTTAATATTATCTCTTTTTTTAAAAAAAGGTTATTGTTGTATGATTCTACTTGCAATATTGCACAAGAGATTGCTGAAAAAATTCAAGAACGCAACAGATATCAGAGGAATGGTGAAAGTACAGCTAAGGTATTGCATACCTCAGAGCAGCCCATCTTCTTTGCTTTACATTCTGCTATAATTCTTAATGTCAATGGAAAGTGAATGCATTGTATCTAAAGTATTCTTTGTGGCTAATGCAGAGCTCCCTTCCTTTGGGAAAGCCTTCCCATGACAAGTTTCCAAAAGGATGGTCCATTGCATTTCCCATTATATCCAGTAAGTATGTAGCAAAGACTGCCAAAGGAAATCATAAAACACTCAGAAGCTTAAAAAAACTGATATTTTTAAAAAATTGTGGTGATTTTGTCAGCTACTTCTGACAATCAATGTGATAAAAATTAAAAAGACTCTTTCTGGAAAAGTTCCAGGATGGTTTATTAACTGTTGGTATTGTAGCCTTATAGCAAGTGAAAAAGCAGGACAACATTTGGGTCAATCCTCACCATTAACCTTGAAACAGTCAGGCGGCATATAAATTTAATAACAATAATAATCATAAATATTACATTCTGGTTGTTAAAGAAGAGTCCAGATCAGTACAGAAAAGTATAGAGTGTGTTTCTATCAGTCACAAACAATTGTGGGAAACTCTTAATATATTGCTTTAGGAAGTGTGTGCAGCAACCTTTAGATCCCAATCTCTAGATCTCTAGCTATACACTCACTTTTAAAAGTAACCGTATATCTCTTAGTTTCAGAACAGTTTGATTATTTCTTGATCATCTCTTTTCCTCCATTTGGACAGCAACCTTCTGACTATTTTGTGGATTCACTTTTTTAAAAAGGAATTTTTAACTTGAGCAACTACCTAGTGTTATTACATGTGTCTTTAGTCAGGATCAAGTACTGCTCCTCATCTGTCCTCCTCTTCTATAAGAATTTTGGCTTAGCTTGCAAATGTTTTGCACAGTTGACAAATGAGTTTACGAAGAAAACGTTTCATGTTTGTATATTAGTAGACTTAAAGGCATTTACTCAGTGAATAATTAGAGAGCCAGAATTTGAATCCAGTATAAACAGACCTGCAACCATGACTATATTTATTGCCATAACAACTGATGTTATGGGCTGATGTTGAGAAACACTCAGATCAGTCATGTTTTCCATGGACAGAGAAGGTTTTAATCAAGAAAAATGCCCTTCCACCCTATCAGCCAAGCAGGGGAAATGTCAATAGTATTTTGTTTTTCCTGAGATTTTGTCACTTTTGCTTTAAAAAAAATAATTTGAGAAAATTGAGTTGAAATTAAAAGCCAAAGAGAAGAGGAAATAAAGAAAAATGCAAGTGTTTTTCTCCTACTCTTTCCCTTCCTCCTTTTTTCTTCTACAGTATTTGGTTGACTGATGACTATCTTTCTATATAAATACAAAAAAAAAAAAACCCTCACAACTGAGCAAATTGCAATAAAAATATAAAAAATGAACTGGGTTTGCACAACATATCAAACTAAAATGTGATTGGCTAGTTTACGGTTTTGTATGTTATATGAACCCAGCCATCCTGTAGCTGAAATTGCTCTTGTATTGAGTGGTTTATGCCATTTAGCAGAATGTTGGCTGTTCCCTTTATAACTTCCAGCTGCTTTGTCATGACATACAAATCTGCTTTCATAACCAAACTTATTTGGACATAAATCCAAGTAAGTGTGTTTAGTGTAGGTTGATAATGAGTCTGCCATAACCTCTTTTAGATAAATGTGTCCAAAACAGGTCTGTTGTTTATATTGTTATGTTTCAAGAGACTGGAGGGCCATGGGAGTGCTGATTCACAATGAGTTATAGTCTGGGAAAGGTCTTAGGAGTGGATGGCATTGCTTCATTACCTTAGATTATAGTGACATGAGATTCTAGTAATTCCTAGACATTAACTGTGTTAACTGTCAGTTTTTACCACCTTTGCGCAATTTGCTGCACTTTGACTCTCAGTGGATCTCAGCAAGGAAGCTGCTCTGCTACATTTAGAACCCTGACCCAGAATGAGGCTATTGAAGGATGATTTAGAAGGAGTTTCCCCCTCAGTGCACAATGCATTATAGGTGAGGACCAGCCCTCATCTAATCATGAGAAGTTTGGTCCCCCTCGTCAGTTTCTCTAGTTAAGCCTTCTTCATACTGTGGTATCTTATGGGATCTCTGAGAATTTATGGGCTTATTGCTAGTTCTTAAAATAGTATTTTGGACTTTTCCAAATCCACAGAGTAGAGCTGTCATTTGTGTGTATGTGTGCGTGTACATGTATATGTGTGTGTATATGTGTATGTGTGTGTATACACGCGCACATTGCCACAGAAAAGGAAAAGCTGCATCAAAGTTGAAAATCAGCAGGTCGGGAACAGCTCAAGAACATGAGATGGTGTAGATGCATGCCTCCTAGTTTAGCAGTAGGAGTGCTGATAAATTTTAAAAGAATTTTTGATTTGTATTCATTATTCCTTCCTTTAGATGAGTTGATTGTTATTCCTTCTTTGAGAAACAGATAAGCCATGTTCTGTTTTACCTCTCTCTCTCTTTAGGTCAATATTGCAGTCAAGTCTTTATTGCAAAATCTTGAAGAAAAGACCAATCGTCTGAAAGACCTGTTGTTTCACTCTGTATCAACACGTCAGATGTATCCGTGTAAATAGCTCTGGTATTAGGAAGTCCAATATGACAATTATGGTTCATTTTATTTTGGAAAACAACTAGTTGATTCACACATGGGCTTTTAAAGATCCCTCAATTTGGGGAAAACCCAAGGAGAGAAAGCATTCTGATATTTTATCTTTATTTTATTTACCTTTAAGCATTTCATTTCCTGTTCAGGGCTACTCTCCAAAATATCTACAGGGCTGCACTCCAAAGTACATCCATTTTTATGGGCAGCTAACATTTTTAAAGTGTGAAATGGATGTGCTAAGCCTTTGCAAAACTTAAGGTGCCAATTTTGCTCCTTAAAATACTTCCCCAAATACTCCCTTATACAAAAATGGTTCCACCCAGTTTGGGTAGATTCTGAGGGCTGCAAAAACAGTGTTGGGGCCCTTGCAGTTCTGCAATCCTCTCTGATATAGATGTGTCTGTTTGGAATGTAATTGCATGATAAATCAACAGCCTCTTTGGTAGCAACATGTGTGAATCAGACTTCTGCAAAGACTTTCATGACTTCTGCTATCATGGTTTATTTTTTAAACACATATATTCATTTTTTAAACTTGTAAAATAATCTGTTCTGAGTATTGAATTGAGGATGGGCTGCTATCACTTTTATAGCCCTTTTCCAAATGCAAAATATTTTATAGTTCTTATTTTATAAGTGTATAAAAGTAACACACTTCATAAAAACAGAGTTATTGCGGAAAATATGATTTACTATTCAGTGATGTTTGTCAGCAACTTAGATTTCCTTACTGAGTCATTATAGCACTTGGGCATTTTTTTTACTCTACTTGGTTTTCCTCAGTCAAGATGTAATGTTCTGTTAACAGATGAGTACATGTGTGGCATTCGTTAGAAGCTATTTTATTCATTTTTTTCCCAACAATGATCCTTAATCCAGTTCTTGCAGAACCCAGGTTGAAGGAGACAGGCGACAACATTTAGTAGATGAACTTATCACAGCACACAGAAAACTTCAAGCATCTTTCAAAAATGAAAGCACAGAACCTGATGTGATAAGGTATAGTATTGCCACTTTCAGATGAGCAATGAATGGAGTGGCACAGTCTTAAAAACATCTCTGAAGACCCTGCTCAATTTACAGGAATTTTAAGTGCGCTCAGATAATATGACCAGACTGGTTTGACATTTCTTTGTCTGATTGCAGCAGCTAGTTGCTCCCTTCTGTCCCATGCACCCTTCAGTGGTGACCTCTAACATGTTGATGGCTCTATCTCTGTTTTTAACCATAGTCAGCAAGTTGAAGATTGGAAGAACAGTCTGTGCTGTCAGGAGACTATGTCTAGTTATAACATCTAGCGTATTTACTTTCTTTAAAGTTTAAAGATTTAAAGTTTGAGCCCTTGTTTCCCTCCTGTATGAGCCATTTGGCAGCTGAGCAAACAGCAGCAGTCTGTGGTGAAGGGACATCTTCTATCAGAGAGGAGGAAAGCTGTGTAAGTTGCTGCCTCTTGATCTCAGCCTTTTGGTCTCATTCTAGAGGGTTATACCTGTTGGATAAATGAAGTGGGGTGATGTTACTTACAGGAAAGGCTTGCTTGTTATCATGTATCTGTCAACTTTCTGTTGTTTCAGAGGCTTATATGAAGTCTGTGTTGCAGGAGGTGTCCGCTGCCTCTTTTCCTTTTCCTCATGATAGCAGTGCAAATGTTCTTTCTATAAAAGGACTGACTCAATAATATCAATAATAAAAAGATAATAAAATGGTAAAAGATGAGGTTAAGGGAGAATCAAATGATCTGAAAATAAATAGTAAATAAAATCAGGTAGAATAAAAAGGCTTTTAGGATGAGCTCAGAAATTAGTCAAGGCAAGCAAGCAAGAATCAATATCAAAGAAATTATATATACAAATATATATATGTTAGAACAGAAGGAATTCCGTTGAAAAGAAATAAATAGGTAGCTGTGCATAATCACATCTAGGCAGGGTGGACTTGTGTTCTTTGACATTCTGTTTGGAAACAGGCAAGAGAGAAGAAAAGCTAACAGTAAAGTTACTATAACCCAGAATTATAGGCTATCTAACATTTTGAATTCTCGAATTACTATTTTATTCTTGCTTTGTTGTGACTTTTTGATATCTGAATGTGGAAGTTGTGGAGTCACAACAGAATTTCAGAAGGAGAAGACTACTGCTATGCTTTTGATCAAGCAAATCAGTGCAAGATGTAATTTTTATATTGATAATATAGTATTGTAATATTTGATCTCTATATTTTAATCTTCAAATTATTGCAACTAGTCATAATTGCATTCCTAATATGGAGTGCTAAATTGCAAAAAAGACATATAGTGTTGGGATTTTGATCAGTTATCTTGTTTTTTAAAAACTTAAAATAGTTCAGGGATATATACATAAATTAATCCATTTTAGGTAGAGAAATTGTATCCCGATTTGTCTTTGTTGCTGAGAGAAGAACTGTGGGAGATTATTTTATTGATTAATTCTTCTGTGGTTTTGTAGCTAGTACAACATCTTCTCAACTCTTCTGACTTTCATACTGGTGGAATGTTTGAGTAGTGTTGTTTGTTGCACACTCCAACAATATCAGGTACTGAATCTGTGTATATGAAATACTTGCTTGGGGGAAAAAAATCTCCTTTGTGGATTATTAAGTATCAGCTCTGATGAACTGCCAGTAGAGGGAGCATACCACTGTTGAGCAAATCATTCTAAACCATAAATGAACTACATTTATGAATTATTTCCAAAGGTAATCTACATATCTAGCATGCTTTTTCCTTTTGGGTAAGCAGTGTTATGCAGAAAAGGAGTAAGCAATAGAAGGCTACCCAAATTAAACATATGATATACTGTATGGGAAAAAAAAGGAAATAACTAAACATGGTTTATACCAACACCATTCTGTCCTTGCAAACTATCTTGTTCCATGGCATCTTCCCACTGTTTCCTACATTCCCTTTTATTCTTTAAACTTGCCACCTCCTTTTGAGCATCTCATAAATTACATCCAACCACAACTCTCTTCTCCTTCGTCCCGACCCATTCACTCTTCCTTCACATATTTGTTTTATGGTTCAATCTTTCTTCACTCTCCATGCATGGTCAAATCATTTCAGAGTATTTTTTTTCATAGGGGCCACTCACTTTTGTATTTAGTCCATAGTCATAGAGCACCCACACATCCTTGACCCTGGCTCAGGCCTGACAAGACTGAGTGGTTGTGGCTGTTTGGGCCCCCTGGGTTGGGGATGTTTTCACTGTTGGCCAGGGATGGAGTTGCACTTTCCCACTTGAGACTGGTGCACAACTTGTGAATCCTCCTGGACTAGCAGGTACTGCTTGAAGAGCAGGTGGCATCTGTGGCCAGGAGGGCCTTTGTACAAATTCATCTTGGGCACCAGTCACACCCTTTCCTTGAACAGGAGGCCCTTCAGATGGTTACCCACGCCCTAATCACCTCACATTTGGACTACTGCAATGTGCTGTACATGACCATCTGGAAGCTACATAGCAGTGATGACACATGCACTTAATAAGAAGTGCCTATTACTCCCAAAATGCAGTGGCAGTAACAGGCACTTCTTATTAAGCCCACATGTCATCATTGCTGTGGGAGCTGCACTGGTTGCAGGTCAAGCAACCAGGTGTACTTCAAGGTGCTGGTCATCAGCTATAAAGCCTTCATAGCATAAGGCCTGGTTACATGAGGGACTGCCTGTCTCTAGCTGCTAGAGTACGTTTAGGCAAAGGGTGCGGTCAGGGTCCTCTCAATTAAATGTTGTCATCTTGTGGGACTGAGGAAGCGTGCCTTTTGTGTCGCAGCCGCTACCCTCTGGAACAGCATCCCCCCCAGAAATTAGTGTGGCTCCCACTCTCCAAGCGTTCCAGAAGTCACTTAAGATCTTGCTCTGCTCTCAGGCCTGAGGTTAGGATGCTTGCAAAGCCCCTTTCTTGTTTTTTGAATGTTGTTGTGGTTATCTTGTCCAGGCTATTATGTTATGTTTTAAACTGTGTTTTCATTATGTATTTGATATTTTGTAAGCTGCCCAGAGTCTTTTTGGAGTTGGATGGCCTTAACAAATCTAATAAATATTAATAATATGCAGTTGTGAAAGCATTCTCAAAATTAGTCTTGGTTGAGGTTTAGTCACCATTCAGTGCATTTATGTCCTTCAAAACCTGCTCTGATGAAACTTCTCTTGATGTGCCACGATCATCTTAGTACTCTTAATTCTTATTTTAACTGACAACTTGGGCCACAGAGCAGATCAGAGAATTGTTTTATGTGGCAGCAAAGGAGTTTACCTTCCAGCACTTTCAGCTTTAATTAGGACACAGTCCTCAGTATCCAAAAGGGGTGTGTGATTTGCATAACTCTGGAATAGAATTATTTCATCTCAAAACATTTATTTCATTTGCTTTTCAATTAACCATCCCATTACTAGGTGTCCTGTCCTTTACTTCTCTGAAAGTATAATAGATTCATAACATTGTGCCTTGAATACTGATTGCATAAACTATCCATATACATTTTTGAGAAGCGGAGGTGACATATTTGAAGATTTTGCAAGATGCTAATTGTGCATATTTTCCTTGCAACCATGGTGTCAAACGAGGGGATGGATTTTTATCAGCATTTCTACTAAATAAAATAAGCTGTAAATAAATAAGGATTGTGATCCTAAAATACAGTAAGAAACAAAGAACTCTTACATTGCTGGCAAAACTGATGTAGATATTGTTAAAGGGAAGTGTGGAATTGCATAGCAGGTGCTTTCATTATCCTGTTAGAAAAGACTCAATTATTTTAAGCATCCCATTTTTGGCTTCCTGTAGAAATAATTGAGGTAGAAATAGAAATAGAATCTTGCAGTTTTGTTTTGTTTTGTTTTTTAGAAATATAGGTATGTTTCTCATCTACTTACTCAGTTTCCCCATCTCTCTTCTTGCATCCAAATCTGATTGTATTTGTAACAGGAGGAAGTCCCCTAGCAAAATTCCAATATAATCACCATTGTTTACACTGAAAATGGAGACTTACAGATGAAATTTCTAACCTCTTGCTACTGTAGTAATCTGTTTTTTAAACTTACAGTGCTTGTTTCTTGTCCATAAAACACCAAAATAATAGCAGCACCAGTATTCATTAGAGCCATATTACTGGAAACCACCATTATTCATAACCTTTATAGAATTGTATAACTATTCCAGAACCAAATCTGAGTGGCTAAAGCATTACTGAAAAGCTTTACTTGTAGATTTTAGTGATGGGCATTCAACTAGCTGCAGGTAATATGATTTTAAATCTATCATATTTTGAATGACATCTGTGTGTGCGTGGATGGATTCACATAGTATGTTGGAAAACCTTGCTCCAAGCCTTTGAGAAATTATGGTCTGTTGGAGGTGGGTAATCAGAATATATTCTGATACACCAACATAGCAAATATTAAAATAGCACCTTGGAGTGAGAAATTGGAACCTTCAGTCTTTTGTCATTCCATAGTCAGGGGTTTTCAAAATGCATAAATCACATTTCATAACAATTTGTGAATTCAAGTTGAAACACTTAGAATACCTCAAAGGTTACGTCTGCATTTTACTATCCATAGAAGAAAATGTGATTGTGTACACAGACCAATTTTTAAAATTCTTGCTAAGTGAAAGCCTCATTGTGTGGCCATAGTCTAGGGAAAATTCTGAATGACTAATCTGCATTACTTGGGAAAGTTTATAAGCATGAGCCAGTGAAACAGTGTCCTTGAGAAGATAAGCTGCTGTTTGTTAAAAAAAGGCACAATTCTTGATTATAACCCTCAACATCTTTTATATTTGGGCAGATTGCTAAGCCTTTTAATTAGTTAAATCTGCTCCTGTGATCAAAAGATATCTGCACACTCCGCTGTGCTGTGAAGATTTCAAAGATTTAAGTGATTAACTTGGCAAAAGCCATGGGTGGCTAATTGGATAAGCTTTAATCTTCACACTGCCAAAATGAAACAGAGGAAGATCAGAAGGTGGAAACTGGACTCGGTTGGGTGCGAAGGGAGCTACTAAACTTGTCAGAAAGATTTTTTTGATGGTAATGATAACTTGTCACAAACAAAGCAAGAACAACAGCTACATTAAATTTATGCTGTTACATTTTTCTTAGTGACATTGGTATTGTGAAACAGAAAAAAACCCAAAAAACTTTGAGATAGTGGAGCCCAAGGTGCAAATTAGGGGAGCTAAGGATTTGCTTATGAATATCTTGAAAAATCTTGCGGGGGGTGGGGGGAGGATAAGTTTTTTGGAGAATTAGGAATGTTTATGAAGCATATAGATTACTGTCAATAATCTCCAAGAAAGACAAATCATACAGTAGAAAATGTTGGTAATGCCAGGAAACAGAAGGAACATTTTACCATATGTGGGGGACATGTAAAAAAACCCTCAAAATACTAGATAAGATATACATAGTGCAATTCAGAAAATGTTGGAAATTAAATTTGAAATGAAATCAGAGCCTTTTTTACTAGGTATACTCCCAGAATATATCAACAAGAAATAATTTACTGAGTGAGAATTTTGCCCAGCTTTGGAAGAAAGACACAATTCTGACAATATCTAATTGGGAACTTAAAACTTGGAGAATATGTGGCAATGACAAAATTAACAGTATATATTCATAACAGAAGTTTAACCAAATTCAAGCAATAATGGTTCCCATATATACAATATATTATGCAGCTTAGCAAATATAAACACCCACAGTATAGTTTCTGAGAGGGCCTAATTGCTTATAAACACTGCAAATTGGGTTGAGGCACAAAGAAGGGGGAAGTCAGAAACCAAATAGCTTTTTAACTTTTTTCTTTTTCATTTTTCTTCTTTCTTTTTCCTAATATGCATAAACAATAGTAAGTAATAATACAGTGGAGACCTTAGTATTAAGTATTAAGCTTAAGATAGAAACCTCCATAATATGACAATAATTTAATGCATTTTGTAGTTGTTTATCAATGCCACTCAGCTCTTAATGTAAAATTTAAGCAACTTCATGCTTCTGAACATTATCACTTTAGAAATCATAGCTAATATTGACATAAACTTTTTTTTCTTTATCTTTAAAGGTTTAAGTTACCAAAATCATCAGAGTATTAATAATCTTTAGTAAACTCTATACAGTAAATACCATTCTACCCAAATAAATATAATGTACTACTTGTGTTCTGTAATAATACAATAAAAGAATATTTTTAAAAACCCAAAAAACTAAAGGTTAGAGTGCATCTCTTCGTCTTTCTCCCACTGGAGGTGGAGGTTACCCATCTCAGATCATCCTTTTCTACCCCTGCAGAAAGTTCTGTGGCCCCCATCTCTCTAAGGTTAGGCTTTAATGTTGGCCTTTAGATAACAGAGACAGATGGGTGAATAATGGGAAAGTCCAAAACTCCCTTTGGGTCTTGGCCTCTTAGACCAGTCCTGGAATGCTTAATACCAATTACAAGTAACAACAATGCATCATATGAATATAGTAATTTTAAAGTTCCTATTGTGAAAGAAATGGATTTTTATGGGAAAATAAACCTCAGGAAGGATGGCGATTGCCATTTTATTTTTATTTCTGCACTTTGCTCCTCTTATTGGCAGGGCTTTGGGAAAAAAATAATGCTGTGCCTTTTTCCTGCATTCGTATATGACATGGTCCTTTTTGTTTGCTTATGTTCTTGTTCTGAGGTTTGTTTTAGCAATCAGACTGATACTGATTAGTTTTTCTTTTAACCCTTTAAAATCCAAATAGTGTTCTCTCAAGTGAGGTCAAGCAACTAAATGGTCCTCAGGGATGGTCCTCAACTAACAAGGCTGTTATTTGTAATAGCTAATCAATTAAATAGCTAACCTAGTACTGTTGGATTTAATACGGCTTTTTCCTTTTAATTGATATTCTAAAACTTATTACCTGGAGATCAGTGTTTAGATTACCAACAATTGAGGCTTTAGTTTCATCTGGGTTTGCAAAGGAACCAAAAGCAGTTTAGATTTTCAGAACAGTTATTGCCCTAATCTATTGCAGATAAAAGAGAAAGGAGGTTTTCTGGTATTTTTAAACTTAACTAATTCATTATGATACAAGCTTTCCAAAGCAAAGTGTGAATCCTTTAGTAGATACATCTGGATCATTTAGATCCACATTCTACTGCATTCCAGATAACTGGTCCTCAACATTTTGGTGAGGGACAGGAGGAAAAGCACTACAGGTAGTATTTTTCTTACTGTCGTGGGGTCGGAGAGGAAACTCATTATTTTTGTGCTAATATTTCAAATGGCTAACAGTCTTATCTTATGCATGCTTATTTGAAAGTAAAGTTACAAAGTTAATGGATATTATGCTTATTTGAGTTCAGTATGCATTGGATGTTTTCCGTTTGATTTTAAGACGATGTAGGCATTTTGGGTATTGCTGAAAATGAAATCTTTGCTTTTCTTTTACATTGCCTCATGCTGTCTTTGGGTAGTGAGACTAGTAATAAGATTTTTTTTTTAAAGTCTATTTTAAAATATAGAGAAAGAATCTTGTAATTAAATTAGTTTGTTTTCTATGAGCTTTTGTAACTGTCTCTAAACACTAGAGATATGGAGATATGGAAAAAACTGCCCGAAAGTGTTTTAAGTATGAAAAACAGACATTTTACAGATATTCCTTCTAAATTAAGCACTAAATTGCTTTTCCCTTTGCGGTCATTTGATGTCTGATTTTTGTCAAGTGTTTTTACAAATGAGTGACATATTGCATAATTGGATCCCCCAAAATAGATCTCTAGTGTATATCCATATTTGTTGCATTAGTTTAAATATGTTAGCAGCAGAATCAGCCCTGTTATAAAATGCCAGTAATAGGAGCATTATTATTTTTTTTAATGTTTTTAGATCTAGCCTAATGACAGGAGGGGTCAGAAGAGAAGTAACAAACCCATGGCTTGTGGAGGAGCCTGAGGAAACGAGAGGGCTTGACTTTCAGGATATCCGGCAGCAACAACAGAGAATTATAGAAGGTAAATCCTTCTTTCCTTGTTTTCAAATCTTAGTCTTGTCAGCTTTTGTGTTAGCTTTATAGCTGATTAATTCATACTGATCACATCCCTCTCTTTCCTAGATCCAAAAACCTTCCATAGTGTACTTTTTTTTGGTGGTGGTGGGGTGTCTTTAAATCCTCCTTAAAATAGGTATAACCTTTTTTGCAGTATTTGTTTTGTCAAGACTTATGCAAGATGTTTGAATCCTTGAATAAATTTATTTTGCTTCTAGAACACTTTCTCTCTTTATGTTCATCCTTTCTATATTTGCAAATAATTTCTGTGAGGCACTAAGAAGAAGATGTCAGCCTGAAATTCCCTAAGTAGACTCGTGTTATTAGATGCCATGCTCTGTGTGCCTGATTCTTCTACATTCCTGGGGAATTATCAGCCATCTGTGCCTCTGGTTATTAGCATGGTGTTTTTGGAAAACTAGTTTGCTTGCATCAATTTTTTTAGGCAGAAGAAAGGCTTTTGTTCCCAGACATACTGTCCAGTGTATCACCAGGTGATGTTCTGTTGCCTGAGATTTTACTGCCTCCGAACCAGCTTTCTTCTTAATTATTTTATGCTGTTCTAGAGCCTTTCTAAATATTTTGTGGACATGTGGTTTATTGAAAAACTTCTTTGCATACTAGTACATGGCAGTTAGGGCTAGTGTAGAGTAATTAGATGTATTGATAACATCTTTAATTTCTGAACATCTTAGTCTGAACAGCTGCCACATTATTCTTCTTGTTTGCCTTTTTGCACATAAAGGTCTCCCCCCCCCCCCTTTCTGCAAATGCCATTTATAGTAGCTAGTGAATAAACTTTGGGAAAAATCATTAACTCCCTCCAGGACTATGGGCAAAATGTAATAATTCAATTCTTTAGGAACTAAGGGCATGGTAATGCCATGTGCTCCAGGGAGACTTGAGTTGTGGCAATGCTTATTACGGCTCTCTCTGCCAAAAGTTGGATTAACTCCCCCATGAATGCTACATTAGCACACTGCTTGAAAAAGTCTTTAGATTCCTTAGTGTTTGCTTCACCTATTTGTTTCTCAATCATGTTAAACCTTCCTTGGAAAATCAGAAAGGCTTAATCAGGAAACTGTATGAGTATGCCAGAAAATCCAGTGCTTTTGTGATGCAGGAATAGCTGTGCATCCAATTTCTCAGATGTTTGGGACTCTTGACTAAGTGTTGTTCTTGAGAAATTACCCAGTGCCATCAGCATTCACTATAGATCCATATTGAGGCAATATCTATTAGGACAATTGATAAAATCTAACTTTCCAATTTCCAATCCTAAGACCAGCTTTTTTATTAACTAAGATGGCTAAAAATCCAGAAAATAGGTGGAATAACAATTATGTTAAAATTCCACGATTCTCTTATCTTTTTTTCTTGGATTTTTAACTTTTTTGCCTGATGAAAAGTTCTTAGAAATTCAAAGATCACAGTGACTATGTAAGCCTTCATTTGTGCAAATAAAGTTACTGTTTCAGTAATAGGTGCTTGATTTTTTTCTTTTTTTTTCCATAAAATTATATTGAGTTTTAGAAAAATGTCAAATGCAGAAAGTTCAAAAAGAAAAGAAAGAAAAGTACAGAAAAAGAAAAGGAACTTCTGACTTTCTTTT